CTTAAATGTGAGCATTGGATTGCAATCCTAGCTTAAATGATAGGAACATACAGTAGGGAAGGTGGGAGAAGAGCCATAGATGAGGGTCTGGTTTGACATGGTTGGAAAAGCCCTGGATGCCAGAAGTGACTGATGATGATCATATACCTACCTCTTATCTTTTCTTCTTTCATATATAACACTGACCTAATATTTAAACTAATACAATTAGTGGAAGGTTCACCATAAGCAGCACATTTTCAGTGTTTAAGAGTATCTCACAATGACTTGTAGAAAATGCTCTACAAAATTAAATTACTTAATAGGAGAATAATTTAGAGTATGACTCTGAGTCAAGGTTTAAAAAGCAAAAAATTTCTTTAAACACAAATTTTATTTGATTTTATGCCTATGCTTTCACTCACATAGACAAGGACATAGACACTAGATGCAGACATATACACAAACTCAGAATTTCAAATGCATTCAGTACATGGAAAATAACAAACAATTGTTTTGAAATAGTTTAAATTTCACTCTGGAGCCTGGTTTGGAAAAGAAAACCCCCTAAAGGCTAAAGGTGACATTTGGAGGTTTATTTCATATATTGTTACTAGAAAAAGCCATATTCCAAGGCATCCATGTATACATGCATAAATATGTATAGTGTTTTATCATGTACATGACAGGTCACATACATAAACCAAACAGTGGATCTACACAACTATATCTCTTTCAATAAGAAATCTAAAATAATTTCAGCATGATTTGTATAATATAGCTATATTAGAATGTTTCTCTATATTAATATATTATTATGTACAATATACGCAATAAAAGTCTATCAATGTATGTAGAAAAGCTATGTCAGTTATACAAATCAATACTGTAAAACAGTGAGTGGAAAGCAGTGGATTCAGTGATTGAAACATACTACTGTTACATGTACTTAAATGCTTATAGAATTTGGAACCAAATTAATGGGTAAAATTAATTTCTGTGATCAAAACTGATCACAACATATTAAGGCATGAAAGTAATGGAAAAGCAGTCCTAGCTTTTCAAACACAAAACAAACAAAAAAAATCCTCCCTGTTTCATGTTACTGCCACAACTTGATAATAATGCACTGGCCAGTGCATATCAAGTACACAAAACTGCTGTAAATTTGTTTATGACACTGACAACATTGGATCCATGATAGAAGATCTTTATTATTAAGACATTTAAAAGACAAAATATCAATCTCTATTTCAGCCCCAATCTTTAACTGGAAAGATTCTGAACACCAGCTTTGATGGAGGAGGATTGTATTTGGCCATCCCTCCACTCTCCTTTGTGGCCATAGCATCTTGGTGTGCCTGAAGTACGAATAGGATATACTCCACCACAGTTCTGCCAGTCTGCTGAACAGTTCTGTGCATACCTATCACCTGACTATAAAAGGTTTCAGGCCCCATCCCTGAAGCACACATACCTGCTTTATTGAATATTCACATTCAATCTTAAACTGGATTCTAAATAAATATAACAGAAAAGCGTGTCAGATAATCCAGTAAAAACCTACATTCATAAAGCCATTATTATTTTGTATTAACCTCCCTGTCACAAGGCATAGGTCAATTTAGCAGCTGTGCTTGCACCTGTATTAGTCAATGAAACATGTAATCGCCTGTATCCAACAGTAATCATGGTCCTTAGTCAATACTCATTCTAACTTGAGCTTTCCTCCTTTAACACAGTCAATAAACTGCTTTTGTAATCTGTTTGTGCACTATCATAACTATTCTTTTGTCTTATCCTTTGAGAATAAGCTAGCTAAATCTTGAAAAATACATTCTTAAGTAATTTTGATCATACAGAAACTATTCTTCCCAACTGTAGGCACCTTTCCTCCATCCTCCCACATACCACTCAAAAATAACTACAGTTCACACAGCAGATGTAGAATGAAGACTTATGGGCTCAATTTCCAATTCTATCAAAGGCTCCTTTTAAGAGTTCGGGTATATGACTATTTTTTCTGTTCAATTATTCATTTACAGAAGGAACAAAAGTCAACTTTTTGTTCAATGTGTGTTGTAAGGATTTAACCACATCTTTGATGTATTAGAATGCCACATTAAGGACTACGTAACTATGCAAGAGGACAAACTAACAGGTTAAGAAGCTGAATTCATCGCAGAACAATCCTCACAGTAAGTAGGAAGATTTCTCGGTCTCGAGCAGAAAGTCGAGAGGATTTATAAACCTTCACAGCAAGGAGACAAATATCTCGCAGACTAATCAACCCAGAAAGCGTTCCTGTCCTTTGTACCGTCACCCCACAGAACGTTCACAAGTTCCAGTGTCAATTTCCACCGAGTACCTAAATTAACAACTTTCCTATGCAAACGAAAGTACTAGACAATCATGAGATTTCTCGCCTCTCTAGTATTTCGGAATAAAAATTTAAAACCCCACAGATAGGCAAATCTGTACAGGGACCCCACACACGCCAGAAACCACGGTAGGAAACGGGGCCACGTTCCTCTATCCTGCAGCGACTTTCACTTTCCGGCACAATGTTGCAGAGAGCGCCAGCCGTGAGGGTATCCCGGGGGTCTGCCCAGATCCTCAGGTTCCAGCCGCTGCCTGCCTCATCCATCCAACCATCCAATCCATCCATGCATCCATCCATCCATCCACCCCCGGTAGGAGCGGAAGAGGCAGCCCACGGCCGAGACCCCACGGCCGAGACCCGCGGCTCCCCGCCCAACAGCAGCGCGGACGCCCCTGACATCGGCCGGGCCACGCGGCAGCGCTGGCGACTACCGGGGATGGGACGTCCCACCCCGCCCCTCGCAGCCCGACACGTACCCACACCATCCCAGAGCCCGGCGGCAGGGGAGTGGCGAGGGAGCGGCCCAACCTCTCCCTCCACAGCTCCGCGCGGCGCCGCTGCGGCCCCCGAAATGGCCGAACAAAGGGAACCTCGCTCGGCCGCCGCCGCCCCTCGCTCGGCCGCGGGCGGGGCCGGGGGCGGGGGCGCCGCTGCCCGGTCACCCTGGCAACGCCGGGCGGGATGGAGGCGGCGGGGAAATGGCCGCCCGGCCCCCGGCCCCTCGCGCTCGGCCGTGGCCCCAACACTGACGGGCTCCTCGCAGGAATCCTTCAGCCTGGGCCCGCCAGGCTCCCCAGGCCGGCCTCTCTCCCCGCACCCCCTCACGCCCGCAGCCCTCCGGCCACAGCTGCTCTACAGGAGGTGTCTGACACATGTGCCAAAAGAACAGAAAATCAAAATGAGGGCTGAGGGCTAGACAGAAAGTACAGCATCCTGGCTTTCGTCTCTTAGCGAGTTAGCGCAAGTGCACACGCAGGGTCTTCCCAATGGAGTGAGTGAATGGATTGAGCAGCCCTGTGAAAAAGCACTTGGCGGTACTGGTGTATGAAAAGCAGGACATGATCTGGAAGGTGCAATTTGCAGCCCAGAAACAATTGCAGACTGGACGCATCAAAAGCGTGAGGCCAGCAGGCTGAGGAAGGTGATTCTCCCCTCTGGCTTCTATATCCAGCTCTGGAGCCCTCATGCCAGAAAGACATGGACGTTTTAGGACAGGTCCAGAGGAGAGTACTTCCAACTCAAACCATTGTATTCTATAATTCTTTGATGTGTGGCCAGTTGTTGTGGCAAGAACACTGCACATTCGTTCATGGCTGTGGGCATCCCAATAAATTATAGTAGCAATCTCTAATTGTGCTGCAGTCCTATCTCCTTGACTGTAAGCACTAGCTACTCTTTTATTAAACAGTAAAAGCTGATAATTGTCACCCAATTTCTAATACTTATAGACCATTTAGAAAAGCATGTTATTTGAAATGGACAGGGTCTATGTCTTTATTAATGTTCAGCTCTTTATTAAATAAAGTCAGTTCGGCAGGGGGTAGGGGTCTTGACACGGAGCTCACCCCCGCTGTTGTAGCTTTTTCCCAGTAGCCAAAGGGTGAGCAGGCGAGCAGAGTCTGTCCCTGGAGTCTCCGTGGCACACTGGTAGCTGGAGGTGAAGAGGCGTGCAGTCTGTATCTGAAGTCCCAGCAGACTGTCCTCTCTCCTTTCCTCCTGGCACACTGGTAGCCGAAGGGTGAGGGGATGTGCAGAGCCTGCTGCTGAAGTCCAGCAGCAGCTGTCCCTCTCCTTCCCTCCTGGTAACACCAGGAAGTGTGTGTGTGCTTTGCTCCTGCTTCCCACATCCCAGTCCAGTCTGGTCCTCTGCAGGTTATGGTGACAGATCAAACACAGACTAGAGATGTGGGTCCCTTTTCCCCAACCAGCACACCCATCCAGCCCCCTCCACTGTGCCCAGCCTTCCATTTAGGGGTGTTTCCATCCCCAAAACCCCCTCCCATGATTCCACTGGTCTCCCTATTTTGTATCCCAGTCCTAGAATGCTAGTGAGGGTGGGGCGGTAGGTGATTCCCAGGAGCAATTAGCTAATTAACATTTCAATGTCAGTACTTAGTTCGAGCCAAGTGTCCCAGCCAGGCTGTTTTGTTCATAACATTCCTTAGACAAATTCAGTTTGTTATAAATGAAAATTTGTCCAGCCAAATTAAGATTAAAAATAAAATATTTATTTTGCAATCAAATTCTATCTAGCTAGCCACAAGGAAAGAACAGAGCCGAGCCCGGGGTCGGCCCTGGGTGTGCTACAAAGAAGTCAGCCTCAGCAGAGGTTTTCCTCTGTGCCCACATACCTCCATCCTGGCACAAGCGATTTTTATAGGGAAAATTCTGCCTGAGGCCAAGATTTCAGCAATCAGTCTTTTATTCCATTCAGAGTCTATAGGTTAATGAGATTTTCTTTTTTGGTGATGAGGAAGAATAATTCAGTGTCCGGAGTTGTTGAATCCCTTGATGAAGTTTACAGGAACTCTGCATTCACATGTATCTGCCTGAGGATTTCCATTATATCCATCTTGGGTCGTTCACGCGATGATCAGCGCCTGGTGTCCCCGTATCTCTCCAGACATGGCCCATCTCCTGGCCGAGCCACACCCTCTTACTTGTAAATCAGTTTCCAGTATACACCCAGTCTCACCTGCAAGGGTGTGGGGGGGCTTCTAATACAACCGAGCATAATCTAACAAGTATCCAATATTACACATTTCATACAAGGAAGGCGCGAATTATGTTTACTACACATAACATGTTGGTAACTTTGCTTATAGTTTCATTGCATTTCTTCTGCTCTTGGAAACTCACGGTCCTGTCTCAATCCTCATTTAAAGAATCCTCTCAGTCTGCCTCTTTATCATATACATAACCCTTCCACAACACCACACACTACTATGATTTCACAACAACCAAAAGCTTTTGACAGTGTTTTCCATAAATGGGGTTTCCCAGCCACTTGTCTAAGTCAGCACTCAAATATAGCTCTAGTATTGCACCACACTACACTTCCTAATTATTGCAGAAGAAAACTTGAGAACACAACTGATCTGAACACCAGAATTTTATACTCATAATACATTCATTGTCTATTACTCCAACAGGTACCTCTAATTATTTGTTTTCATAGGATCTGTCTGGTAATCTTGCAAATACTAACACTTCAGTACTACTGGAGGAAGGTCTTGTGCAGAAAGATCTATTATGTGCACATTCTACAGGCTTCTTCCCTCTGTTCAAACTCCTTCCCACAGTCAAATTAAATACTTGTTATTTTCCTTGAGTAATATTTTACTGTGTAATGTTCTGAGCAGATTGTAATATAGTTTTATACTGAATTGTGATTTATACCTTAATACTTACACCTGCAACAATCACTGTAAATTCATTGTCTCATAATAAAATCTCTCAGCTAACAGGAAAGCAGGTATGTGGGGCTGTATCGTCCAGTTCAGCCTTCCTGAGTACAGAACGTATGTCCTATAGCTTACTTCCAGTTTTGTCAGCAATTTGCTGGCAAAGTGCTGGCCTGTTTTCCTTCTGAAAAGATTCTGTGTGATCATGGTCTGCCTAGATGCCCAATCCTCTGCTATTCTCTTCTTTATAGTTTTCAACCTGTTAGTCAGCTGTAGTCAAATCTAACTGACACATGAGAGTGTCCAAAAGATAACAAAGTCCAAGTCTTGAGATAAACAGGAGGGAGGTATAGAAGAGGAGCTGTGCTTATGAGGAAATGTTGGAACTGATCAAAGGAAGGGATAGTTTCTGCCTGTTTGATATCCTGCCAGTTCATAAGTACCAACATACTGGTTGGTCCAGCCCACACACATAATTTAAAATCAGTTGCAATACTGTTTCTGGCTCAGCTGTCTGCCCAAAGATGTAGAAGTGAGCTTGTGGTTTATTGAGTATGGAGAGGAGAGCTACAAAAACTCAAATTGTAGTGCACGTTCTGGTACCTGAAGTAACTATTTTAAACCAGTTTACAGTACAAGAAAGCTACAAAAGCAGCATAGTCCAGTACTCAAGTATTCCTCTAAAGGGGACAGAGAAGTCAGTGTGGCCACTGTACATCACAATCTCCAATTGTCAAACTGCTTTTTTGGTGGCATAATTAAAATTATTGAGGCCCGGTGTGTCCTTCCACTGGCTAGAGACCAAGAAATGGAAGAATGAAAGATAAGATCTACCTTTGCCTGACTTCATCCGGATTTAAGGTAAATTACTAAACTTCCTGACAACTTTCTGAAGATTTCTTGGTAAAATAAAATAAAATATTAGAAACAAGCAATGTATTTTCAGTTAGCTAGACTTCATTGAAATGCACTTTCAGACCTGATGCACTGGTCTGTACTTAAACAAGGCAAATAGAACTATATGTATACATTTTACTCTAGTGGCAGATTATGGCAGGGTATGTCTAAATAGTTTTGCTTTCCATGCATACTTGGAAGAAATAATCTGTGAAAGGCATCTTCCATACAAAAGAAGGTCCTTCCCTGGTGGTCTGTTTCAATTACTGATTATGTTTTATCAACAAAACATGAAGGAAACAGGTTATTGCAAAATCAGCATTGTCTCCATGACACTGAAGTCTTTTGGGATAGTAAGGTACATGGCTATTAGATGCATCCTAGTCATGATAGCACATAGCAAGCCAGAGCTAATTTATCTGTTTTCTGAGTATAATAATTTTGACTAAGAAAGTCAAAGGTCTGTGCTAAACAATTCCTAAATTTGTTTGCAACCAACTTAATTCTACATTGTGCTGATGATGCATTATACAGATATACTTTTTTTTTTTTTTAAATTTTAGACTGCAAGTCTGTCTGTGTGGCTGCAAATTGTTTTTGGGGGGCATACTTAGTTATTTTCACTACAATTTGTCATCATATGTTGGTTTTTAAGCACCCAATTTTTCTTGACAGGATCAAGCACGGAGATTCATCATCTAAAAGCATGGAGATATATAATTTCTTAGTAATAAAGGAAGCTGTGCAGTTGCCATGAAAATATGCCCTCCAGCTTATAAAGAATGACTTAACTGAATATTTGAGTTGTTGTACCGAGGAATCAGAAACAACCTGAGGTGCTTTACAGATGCTGATAATGTATCCTGTAATTTTTCCAATTTTGTCTTCCATTTATAAGTAAGCGTAAAGTTAGGACTGAATAAAACCTAGAAATTAATGTAAAGGTGTTTTGGTATTTGCATGAGTATGCAGTTTTGAAAACAGCAGGTGGAAGAAGTATTACTGCTGAATACATATCAATGAGATACAATTTACATAGTCATGGGCCATATTTCAATGCTAATATCAACTGTTTTGTTGATCATGGAAGCCAAGAGGATGTGTTTTTATTTTTTAACATGCATGAAGTTAGGAGAGCAGGATTGTCAGCCTTATTCAGGTCAGAGGTGGACAAGAACGTGGCTTTGGACATGATGTTTGAATTTGGTGTCACAAGGAAGATCTGTATCGTGTGGAAATTGACAAAGTATCCACCAAGTTTTTTGGTGGTTTCTTAAAAAGGCCATTTGACAGCATTTTTACCTGCAGGTTTACCTCTACTTAGATGGGAAAATAAATCCAGCATTTGTTCTGGTCTTTCTTGGTTATCTTGCCCAGTTAAGTATGCTCGCGGACTCTGATGTCCAGTTATGGTACTGTAGTACTATAATTACTTAATACATTTACAGGTAAAGGCTGGGCATCTAATGTGGTAAAATGTGTGTATCTTCACAATATATGAACAAAAGGCTTTTTTGCATAGTCTTCCTTGTATTGTGATGTTTCTTATCTTGTTAGGTCTGATAATATAACTATTTCTTCTGGAAGCCTGATACTCTATCTCAAGAATAATTGGAAAAGAGTATGAATTTCTTTTTTTCAGTCAGTATCCAGCTGCTGTACACTTTTTGCCCTTCAGTTTCTGACACCTTTTCCCAAAGTATCCAGTGATTGTGCTACAGCTGAAGATCTGTGGGCACTTTACAAAGGCCCTTTCTGAGAGCAAAATTAAGAAGTGCTACCTGGTGTTGCACCTCTGGTTAATGGCTGCTAGACTGTAGAGACAAAGAACTGCAGGGAAATGTGTACTCCACACCAGTGTGAACGGTGCTAAATTGTGTCTCCAAGGCAGGAGGGAGGGAGGCAGGCAGGCAGGCAGGAAGGAAGAAAGGAAGATTTTACTAAATTTAAAAACTATATATTCATGTACAGTTAATTCCTACCACAAAATAAAGCAGGATTTGTTCAACAATATGCAGTTTATATATTTAGGAAGCATTATATATGAAGACAAAGTAAGATGATAATGTTGGCCAAGACCTTGTCACTAAATGTGAGAAATACAGGATTAACCAGCTTTGCAGGACAGACAGAAATAAGATAAATTACTTAATTGATTTCATAGGCATGATTAATTAATGTTATAGACAAAATTTTGAGTAGATTTTCAGTATGTGTAGTTACAAATTTAATTATTTCCTATTTGCAAGAATCTGAAAATATCACTGCTATTTTGCCTATTCAAAGAGAATTTATTTTCAGTGAAGTTCATGAACTACCTCTATTCATAGGGGTACTCACTGTTAAGAGAATTTACATATCAATTTTTTTGTGTTTATGTCATTGCTTATAGGCATTTGATCCACTTTTTTATCTAAAAATGTTTTGGGGTTTTTTTGGGTTTTTTTTTTGTTTTGTTTTTGTTTTTTTTTTTGTTTGTTTTTTTTACATACTGGCAAGATGGTGTTTAGTGTTAGCTGTTGAGATATTTTTCAACTTAGTTTCTATTTTGTATCACTACAGAGCTGCTTTCCTAAAGGTTTTGCTTTACAATTGAAGATAAATTTAGCTGTAGCAACTAAAGCTGTTATTGCCTGAAGCAATCTACACCAGCCATTTCTCTGAGATTAGTCATAGCATGCCAAGTACATTATAAGTGGAATTTAAAATATAAATATTCTGGAATAAATGTCAAATTGTATTGATTATAATGTGTTTAAACCTTAAAACAAATTAAATATATGCTTTAAGCATATAGTTTCATTGGGCTGGCTGAAGGTCAGAAGGGTTGAAAGCTGTCATGAATGTTAAGTAAATGAATGGGAAAAATTTGTGAAGCAGGCCATCAACACATAAATCAAGGTCATTAGCAGTTGCAGACATAAAAGAGCTGTTATTATCTGTCTAGGTACCTTTATAACAGAAAATTCTTTATGAACATTTTCTGAAATCGTCATGTTGTTCTTGGTTGGCCACTGAAGTTTTTTCAATGGAACACTGAAACCTTCGATTCGCGTTTCATAAAGTTAGTTTGTCCATCTGGAAACAGCAGGAATTCTGAGAAGAAATCTTCGGAGATGTTTGAAGGAGCTGAATGAGCTGCATTAAGAATGTAATCTGTTGTCAAAATGACTGCATTATTTTCCTTTGCCATGAGTGTAGAGTAGTAGAACTAGCAAAAAAGATGTAAGTGCTTATCGGTCAAAGATTTGTTTTGTGGGGATGACAACATTTTCAGAGTGGTGTACAGACATAGGCATAGTCCTCTTGCTTTTGTCTTTACAGGGAATGGAGGTAACAGCACCTTTTCCTCTTTTCAGTGCTGGCGACTACATTAACCAATGCTGAAAGTCAAGATTTGAGTCATCTCCAAGATAGTTGTGCTGGAGATTGAAAGAAAATATTATGAAAGGTTAGAGATTGGCTAATTTGAGAAAAATGAAAAAAATTATAGTAAATAACTTGAGTTAATTTGTGTTAAGATGTCAGGTAGGTGTCTAAGACTTCTGAGCAGTGAAGCTGGGCATAACAAGGACTCAGAGAAAGGGAAGAGAAGTATTGCCAAGTCTCTAATTTTCCTTTACTTTAGCTAGTTCTTTCTTGTGATAAAGAGTTCTATAACTTAATTTGTAACTCCTTGATTACCATTTTCATGAACTGTTAGGACCTAAGCTTATAAGGAGCTTAATGTAACAGAATTCAACAAGAAGACTATTGATTTTCAGAGGTTTTATTTGTTTGTTGGGGTCAAGTTTTAGGGTAGGATTTTCTCATGTTTTCAGTTACTTGCTTGTGATGATTTAAGTGTTACATTCAGAATTATGATTCATGACAACTACAAATTCAGAAATATTTAAATTACTGATTTTTTCAATTGTGGTGTCAGCTTAATGGGAAACTGTATAAGGAAATGAGATCTTCCATGAGATTTTGAGAGGGTTGCTTATTTTAACGCCCATTTCTATAATTATTCAAGATAATGGCTGTGGTAAACAACAGGAACCAAAAATTATTATGCCTCACTTAAGTTTAATTGAAGGTGCCCCTGCTCATTGCAGGAGGGTTGGAAAGGATGACTTTTAAGGCCCCTTCCAATCAAAAAAAATCCATGATTGTGTGATTCTATGAAAGCACCGTTTTCCAAACGATGAAGTATGGAGTATACTTGGTGAAGCTATTTTGTCCTGGAGGAGCAGCCTGGGTGGTGTTGCATGTGCTGCTCAGGAGAGGTGTGCTGGGGAGGCAGGGCAGACCTGTCTGCCAGTGCTGATGCAGGATCCTGTCTGCCTGCCTGCTCAGCCTGGCGGGGTGAGAGCTCTCTTAGCACCAGCAGTACAGCTGACAGGGAAAAGCAGAGATGGTGACAGGAATGTGATGCTGAATGAGTGCTCTGGAATACCATTAATTTTTTTGAAGAGAGTGTTTGGCTAAAAAGATTTGGGGAAAGAGTGGTCTAGAAATTGCAGAGGTTATTGGTCTGTGTGATAACTGGAAGTCCCACACACAGTGCACCATCTTTGACATCTAGAGTGAACACCAAACACTTAAAAAATTATCAAAGGTATTTTCAAGGTTCTGGATACAAGAAATACCCAAGTACACACCTGTATGTGCTCCTAAATGTTCTGATAAAAATACATACTTGAAGTATTTTTCTCAAGTAATATAATAATTTTATTTCTTTCTCAGAACTCCACTTAATGAATCTTTATTTAATGAATGAAAAAAATCCAAACCATAAAATTCTATCTGTAGACAGGTCAGCTAGATTTGTGCCAGGTTTCCACACAGCTGTCATTTATCTGTCCTCTCACACATTATGCTGCATTAAGAATAAATACAATACTGAACCATTAGGATACATGATCCCAAGTACTTAGCCATGATGACATAAAAATAGAGAAAATTAATTGTTTGCATTCCAGCATGTCATGTTTGCAAATAACTTAGTACTAAAAGCTAAAATGATGACATGACAAAAGTAACTTTCAAGAAGTATAAGAACTATTATCAAATGTCTCAGTATTATAAACAAACTTAGGTGGCTTTTTTCTTCTGTTTAAATTGTTGGGGTTTTTTTGTTATGCTTACAAATATAAAGAAGACATTATATGTGTTTGACAACTGCAATTTATAATGTATTACAGCATTCAAGTCACAGTTATGTCTAGATAGTCAGGACAGTTGTATAGTAAATATAAAACTATGACATAGTCCCTAAATGATTCTGACTTCGTCAAAGGCATTGGCAGCATTCCCATATTTTATGTGATACCAGGATTTCGCTCAATGCCAGTGTAGATCAAAAGGCCAAAGAATTTAATTTTCTCCAGGGCATCAAGTTTTTAAACATGGGAATATGCACCTAGATATAATCATGAGGTCAGTATTTAATAAAATTCTTATGTTTAAGTCAGAAAAATAATTCCAAAAGAACTCTGTGTTATCACAGTACTGCTGTGGCAACCACCTCTGATAAGTCTAATTGCATCTCTTTAGCAAGACAGAATCACTGTAATTGAAAAGCATCACTCTCTTTTCTTCCCAGTAAAAATGACTATTGAAACATGGAATTAAAATCTGATTCAAAAAAAAAAGAAGACAGATTATGAACATCTGAGGCATGAGAGAAAAATTTTTTCCTTCTCCCTAAGCCCCCAAAAGAAAGAATGAGTAATTTGACTTAAGTTTACTTGAATATTGGAACTTTGTCAAAGGACAAGCATCCCTGGAAAGCATTCCAGTAAAAGCTATCAACATTCTTGCTAAGGAAACACATTTGGAA